CTTAACATCTTGGTACGACAACAGTATAAAATATCTTAACATCTTTGGGTTAACATCATATGGGTATGACAACTTTGCCATGTGAATATTTCACGAATTATTATCATACATGTGGCTAACTTTAAGGTTTTGTTTAGTGTCAGTAACAAGCTAACATCCTACACGTGGTAGAAAATATCCAACAAACATAGTAATTATTCTGTAACCCTTGCTTCTCCTATCTGTGGTGTCAGTAACGAGCTAACATCCTACACGTGGTAGAAAATATCCAACAAACATAGTAATTAATCTGTAACCCTTGCTTCTCCTATCTGTGGTGTCAGTAACGAGCTAACATCCTACACATGGTAGAAAATATCCAACAAACATAGTAATTATTCTGTAACCTATGCTTCTCCTGTTTCTTTAACGCTTACAACTCTACTGTACAATCATAGTCCCAGTTTCATAGATTTATGGTTTCTGTAAAACGAACACCTCTCATTTATAAACAGAATAAATTTAACTGAAAATGTGTTGTTTTTTTTAAGTTTGAGAAAATGATGCTTAAACGTTGTGAATAAAATTAGTACATCGAAACACATTTTTCTGTATTTTATTTTATTTCTTTCCCTTAAGAAGGACATTAAATACACAGCCACACAATGGACTATCTTAGGTGTACCCACGGAACAATCATTGACCTTAAACTTCATGAATGTGTCAGCTATCAATGTATTTGTTTGATCGTTATAAAGTAAAAAGCTAGACAATGTGGGGCTTCCACTGCAGGTATCGAAATGCGAGTTTTAGCGTTATAAGTCCAAAGACTTACCGTAGAGCTACCGGCAGCACAACCAATGTAAAATTTAGCATATTCCTGTTTACCTCCAGAGTTGTGCTCAGCAGTGAGTTTGCGAGTTTACAACGCTAAAATATGGGGTTCTATGCCTTCGGTGGTAATTATACAGCTTGTACATTGCCCAGCTTTCTTCTCGACAAACAAATAAATACACAAAAATAAACATATTCCTAACACCTCGTTACTTATTTGCGTCAGATGTGGGGTTTGTTCAGTGTATAAAAAAGATTCCGTTTCACTATATTAAACTACTACTGCTGTATTTCAACATTTCATTAAAATGTTCTGAATTGACGTGGCCAGGTGGTTAGGGCGCACGACTCGCAATTTGCGAGTCGCAGGTTCGAATCCCCATCCCCCCAAACATGCTCGCCCCTTTCAGCCGTGTGTGTTGGGGGGAGGGTATATTGTGATGGTCAATCCCACTATTCGTGAATGGTAAAAGAGTAGCCAAAGAGTTGGCGGTAGGTGATGATGACTAGCTGCCTTCCCTCTAGTCTTTCACTGTTAAATTATGGACAGCTGGCGCAGATAGCCCTCTTGTAGCTCTGCGCGAAATTCAAGAACAAACAATATTCTCTATCTTCAACTTTTGTGGTGATAAATCAACGTCAAAACTTCGTTTTTATGCTCATCTCCATTACATTCATACAGGTGCCCGGCATGGCCAGGTGGATAAGGCGCTCGACTCGCAATCTGAGGGTCGCGGGTTCGAATGCCCGTCCCACCAAACATGCTCGCCCTTTCAGCAGTGTGGGCGTTATAATGTGACGGTCAATCCCATTATTCGTTGGTAAAAGAGTAGCCCAAGAGTTGGCGGTGGGTGGTGATGACTAGTTGCCTTCCCTCTTGTCTTACACTGCTAAATTGGGGACGGCTAGCTTTGCCCGAAATTCAAAAACAAAACAAACATTCATACACCATGTGTTTTCATAGGGTTGCACAATAACAGACTTTAAAACGGGTCTAAAATTCAATTATTATGCTCAGGTAGAATTACTTTTAGTAGAACAGTTGAAAAAGAATGTTAGAGGTGAGTGGAACATCGCTGTGAAAGAAAGACAAAATTGACACAGATATCAAATGTTTCTTAGAACTTATTTCATATGGTGTATTTTTCGAAATTAAAAATTACAGTAAGCTGTTTCTTTTTAAGCACAAAGTTAACACAATGGGCTATCAATACTCTGTCCACCACAGGTGTCGAACCCGATTTTCAGCGTAGTATGTTACTGACTTACCGCTGAGCCACTGGGAG